AGGTCCCCTCCAATATGTTTCTCAATTACATCAAAAAGCCGTCGCTTTATCTGCCTGCTTGTGTGGTAATTTGGGGAGTCATATCGGCGCTGACTGGAATTACTACAAAGTATGACCGATCTTGATATCGACAGATGACCTACCATACTCCTCATAATAGTTTCGTTGGAGCGCTCCTGACGCGATTCTTTCTTGGCTTCATAGAAGCAGCTTTTTTCCCCGGCGCCGTGTTCTTGATTTCGAAGTGGTTCGTTAATCATCGAGTATTCAGCCGAAGTCCTGAAATTGAATGTGCAGGTACAAGAGAACAGAGATAGGTTCCAGATTAGCCATCCTCTTTTGGTAAGGGTACTACTATGCTGGTGGATGTATCTATTCATTGACAGCACCATTACAGCGGAAACATGATCAGTAACGCCTTCGGAGCTCTCATCGCATCAGGTATTCTTGCTAACATGGACGGCGTCCGTGCACAAGCCGCGTGGAGGTAATTCAATCCAGTTGATTCGTCAAAGGACTTTGTTGAGTTTCATTTACGAGGTGGCTTTTCTATATCGAAGGAAGCCTGACTGTCACCGTTGCGATAATTGCTGTCTTTGTTTTGCCGGACTTTCCAACGACAACAAAGTGGCTTACTGACGACGAGCGCCGGCTTGCACTGAAGCGTATGGAGGAGGATGCTGGTGTCGGAGACCAGTTAGAAACTGAGAACGGTGGCTTCGGTTACGGCTTTTACCTCGCCATCGGCGACTGGAAGGTGTGGTGGATCACAACAATAATGATTGCTCAGGTTATAGCGTTATCCTTCACTGGCTATTTCCCTACTCTGACTGCAACAATTGGCTACAACCCAACGGCATCGCTGCTCCTCGTTGCGCCTCCTTGGATATATGCTGCCATTTTCACATTCGTGTGGACCAGGTAAGCTGGGATATCGAACGATATAGGAACTGGTCTGAAGACCTCCTCAGACACTCTGATAAAACACAAGAAAGGTTCTTGCACATGAGCATTTCGAACCTCATTGGCATAATTGGATCCCTTATTTCGATATGTACCATGAACACTGCAGCCCGATACTTCTCTCTGTAGGCACATAAGGTTGATTTCGGACGTCTCGCTGATAGTGGCCTTCCTCAACAGCTTCCTCCTGGCGCAGTCCTATTCAGCAAATGTCTTGATGACCACGTGGGAGAGTAACACATTTGCGCGACCGCCGTCAAAGCGCGCAGTATGTTTTTCGCTTATCAATGCACTTGAGCAGCTAGGCAGCATCTCAGGGTCGTGAGTAGTCAATCGATTATTAAAATTTCATTGACGAAATAGATGGCAGGTACGTCTGGCCAGCTAATTGGGGCCCTACCTATCGATACTCTTATACCATTGTGATCGCTTGTAACGTTATCGTGATTACGATGACTTGGATTCTTAGACAGCATCTGAAGACATTGAACAAGAAGCTGGAGAGAGAAGAGCATGAGCAAGGGATCAAAGAGAAAGGATTCCGCTACGTTCTCTGAATCTTGGTGGTCTATTGATTTAAATTTCATCTGAATGAAGCTAACGGGTTCTCGTCTGTGTGAAGTATAGATATTCGAGGGACAATGGTCAGTGGTAGTGAAGAGGACCATAGTCTTCATTCGATTGACGAGTGATCTGATGGATACCGTTGGAGCAAAGGCCATTCTGTTGAATCCTGGAAGATGTGATGTATCTGACCAACCCGGATTCAAAGATAGTGCGTCGTCATCTCCCTGTCGATCAACAGAGTCAGATTAGTCGACATGATTGAGTCGGTGGAGCAAATTATGTACTTACTCCGTAGTTGACCCAGTTTTCTTGACCTGAATCACGACAGCCCGAGTAAAGCTATCGTCTGGGTCAGCCCCCTCCTCTCGAGTTCTGTCCAATGGTGAATGATATTTCATCATCACGTTGGAGTGCCTGGTGTGCCCTACGATCTTATGGCGCTATATCTGCACATTTATTATTTGCGCATCCCGCGGCTTGCGCGCTGTGCGTTTTCGTCAATCCAGAGTGGGCGCGTTTTAATCAAGAGGTTCCGCATTCCTGCACTGCGCGTTTTCGCCAATCCAGAGCTGGCGCGTTTGCTTGTTCAAGTCTCTACTAACCGAGTCATTCAAGTTGTGCGGAGCTAACTTAGTGGCTCACGCAGTATTATAGTTTTTTTTCTTCAAATACATACTGTTTTGATGGACCCACAAAATGAGTGAGACAACGCGTCCTTCATACTTAGTCATCAATGTTTGCATTCAAAGAGTGTGAAGTAAATCATGTATGTGACTCCTGCAAGACATCATTAGGTGAGGCATCGCGAGGATGCAAGGTATAAGTACGGAATGAGATGAGGATGAGGATGAGATAGTGGTATGTACTGCAACACACGAGAAATGACAAAAACTAGTACCAAATTAGCATGCCTGTCATCAACAAATACTAGACCCGGTCACTTGTCAAACATTGTTTGGGAAACGGTAACCGACCCTCCTCACATGAGCTACCGTTGCCCAGACGTATCAGGTTGTTTTTGGAATTTTCAATTTTAGTGTGAGATACTTTTACGCTGTTTTACCGTCATGTGACGTCCGGATTCGGCCGGATTTCTGGAACCCTTCTGTTTTTGGGGGTGGGCAAGTCTTTGTGTGCCGCTTTGCATTCTTTCTTGTCGCCAGCCAATGCAATCTATGTTTCGAGTTCCTTTCGACAAATGATTTACCAAACAAATCAAATTATCTTGTCGAGTCCCACCAGCTGCGTGTGAATCCATGACAAACAAGCAAATCTACAAGGAGGACAGTGCTAGTACTAAGAGACAGAACTTTGAAGCTAGTTTGTGTGCATGCATGTGTGGGGGTGGTGAAATGTCTGTGAGTCTTGAATGGTTGTGCTATGGATCAGTGTGTGCATGCGTGGATGGACAAGACTTCCTCTATCAACTTGGGAAGACTGAATGCAGGTTGTGATTGTCAGTGTGAGGCGGATGCTCAGACTTCTGGCTGGCCATTCTTGCTCGCTCATCCAGTGATTTCTCTGCATACCTCATGCTGGCGCTGGATTGTGTCGAAGAGTGGCTTGGCCCCCCAGTTTGCTTGAGGGTACTCCTCCAGAAACACTCCGTCATCTCCGTGCAGCCTGTCAGAAGAGGAGCAACGTGAATCCGAGTCACAGCCAAGGTCGAGCACCACCTCTTGAAGTCAGTGTGATGCACTGGTAGAACTCCATGGCGATGACCTTGCAGATGTTCTGCTTCATGCCAGTGATCGTGTGTATGGCACCAGTATACCACTCCTCCAGCCAGTCCACAATTGTTGTATCTTTACAGTGGTATATGCTATGGTTAACCTGGCACTGATAGCAGGCCTTGGTGCAGCATAGAGTGTGGATGTTGATACTAGTACAGAGACTACGAAGGTGTTTGGGAGAAGTTGTTGTTGTTGTTGTTGTTGTTGTTGTTGTTGTTGTTGTTGTTGTTGTTGTCTGGATTGTCCAAGTCAAAGAAGACCAAGGGACCCGAAGCTGAGGTATGCAATGACAAGTAGGGTGTGAGCAAAGACAATGGGCAGGAATGAGAGAGAGCTGTGTTGAAAATTTCCAAAGGTGCTTTGCAAGGGACCTCTCTTGAGGCTAATTGAGGGGCTGCAAGGTCACCCAAAAATTTTCCAAGTCAATTGAAAGGGACTTGCAATTGTGTCGCAAGTGGCTTACAAGGGGCTGTAAACATAACTTTGCAAAAATATGTCCCAATCTGTCCCTAAATGAGGTTGCAATCAGCCTGCAAGTGTCAATTGAGCCTCGCTTGCAAGATTTTCAGGTCCGCTTCCAAGCACTTCAAATGGGCTCGGTCAATTGAGGGCTTGCAACGCCTTATAAGGTATGCCAAGCAAAAATAACTTTTTCCAACATGATGTTGACCCCAAACCGGCAGGGTAACAATGTTTCATTCTAATATATTCAATAAGAAAATACTACTTACAGTATAAAGTCTGTTGTTATAGCGGGTACAACTCGACAATCAACACATATACCGAAGGGATGATCCATGTATTGACAAAGTAGCAGAATTTCGGACTCATCTGAGTTTAGAATAATATGTGTACATGTCGGTATGAACCGAAAATGTAATGCACACACCTTTGCATCTCCTATTGTCAGCAATAATGACAAGAACGATTCACTTAATCTCTCTCGCTCATATTCATATAAACATCAAAGTCTAGCATCCATGCAGATGAGCGTCTCAGTTTCTGCTTCCAGAGACTGAGACTAATCTTACCTGTTAGATTCTATCTGCACATCAACTCTGATCTCCAGACTTGTTGTGGTGTGAGTGGTGCTTGACCCAGCCTAAATGAGGCTTCTGACATGCCATGGTTGGGGCTTGACATGGTGGTGCAGAGTATAGAGAATGGATTGAACTTGACAGGGAGGTTGAGGCTTAATGAGGTGGGATGACACTTGACACTCCATCTGAAAACCAACATAGATGAACAGATTAGAGGTAATACAATAATACAGGAAGGATGCATACTAGTAGTGTGGACAGAGGACAAGCACCACAAATTTGGTGAGAAGTGAATACAGCACTATAGAGCCTGTACACACATAGGCAGACACTCATATGTTGATCATTAACTAAAATCCAAAGTTGTTTAGAATTTGTTACAGTATCACAGGCCTGTCACAACTGCACACACATCAATTTCACCTGGCCCAAGAGCTGACACACTTAAACACCTATCTCTACTCTCACGCTGTCTGTCTCACTTTATGATCATCCTTGGGAGCTGAAAAACATGCTGTCGAAGGCCTGTTTGCAGTACAGTACAGCAGGAAAGACTTATGACAGTCTTTATCTTGATTTCACCTGCTAAAATTTGTTGAATGGCGTGTATAATATCTGTCCTTGAAGTTCTTGTCTTCACTATTATTGACCTGCATCCTTGGAATGACGGATGACTTAATAGTAGATCTAGAATAATCTAATGTTTGGTTAGAAAGAATGCAAATCGGCACGCAAAGACTTGCCCGCCCCCAAAAGCAGAAGGGTTCCAAGAATCCGGCTGAATCCAGACATCATGTGACGGTAAAACGGCGTAAAAGTATCTCACACTAAAATTGAAAATTCCAAAAACAACCTGATATGTCTGGGCAATGGTAATGAGCTGGAGGTTAGTGGGCTTCATGGAATAGTGAGAATCCCAGGGATTGATCTGCTCCGGTGCAAAAGGGTCGTCAATGTGTGATCGACTGCGCCACAAGACATCCGCCTCACTGACTGACACAAATTCAGGTGGGGATGATAATGCACTCTTCGACTTTAGGAATTGAATGGCAGTACCAGCTGGCACTCCGAGTGGACTGCTACGGAACAACACCGTTTCTGGCAACAACAGCACAGGTTAAATTTTAAACAAGTAGCACGAATGGAAAACTCACTGAGGCTATTGGACTGAGCAAGTTGAGTCAACGGAAATGGCTGAGAGCCTGTCGATGGCCCAGATTCCATAAAAAACAAGGGAATGGCAGCTTGAACATCATTAGCTGATTCTGTTGAGTATGTAGTAAAGGATTGAATAATAATAGAAAACATAATGGAAGGAAAAACTCTACCCTGTTTAACTTTACTTTTCTTTCGAATTGCTCTCTGAACCTCCGATGGCGATTGCTCAGGGGAAAGAACTGTGCGAGTTTGTTTCACTGTTGGAACAGATGAGTACACACATCAAGGCCAACACCGAAAACTCACTGTTAGTTCTCTTTGGCAATACAACCTTCATTTTTCCTTTGCCTTTGGGATCCTCGACTTCAGCATCAGTCAACTCCAGTTCCATCAAAGAACTCGCAAGCTCATTGTCCGACTTGGAGATAAATGAATCATTGAGACTGTCCACGTCAGACAAAAGCACATCACTGCAATCATCGTGTTCGGAATCTGAACCAGCTACGACCGGTTGAGTGTTCCAAGATTCGTAAACATTGTCTGGAATCCAGTTCCGTGTGACTGATGGAATTGTTAGGGCAACATGCAGCGAGTAGTATGAGAAAGAAACAGGAACACACCAAACCACAGGTGACACTTGCTGACACTTGCTTTATCTCGGCCCTTGTGTTTCATTAGGTCAGTCCCAGTCGGAAATGCAACATCGACAACTGTTAATGTCTGTCCACTCTTGTTAAGGAGTCGCCAAATAGGCTTTTTGTCTTGTGTCGGCCATGCTAATGATCGTGATGGCACTCATCAGTAAAACCTCGTAATCATTTTCTGTTATTTTTCACTCGGAACTCTCATTTTTCCTGCTTTGATTGGATTTGAGGAGCCGTTCACACAACATGAAGACATGACAGAAAAAATTGAAAGAAGGCCACTCGCCCTCTTAATTCTACTTTGACACTCTTGAAAAGTCACTTATCAGGCATTGACAGTGGTGATAATAGAGCAAAGGGCATCACATTGTCCAATGGTAAAGTATGAAAAAGTGGTGTAAATAGAGCAAATGATGCATGCAAATGGCGACAAAGCGGTAAAAACAGTAGGAAAGGGCAAAATGAGAAATGCATGTAAATGAAGAAAAGGGGAATTAAAGGCGAGTAATGAAGACAGATGGCAGAACAGGCAAAATGCGATGGTACGAGGAGATGGATACAGCACGGAGTTATGAGTCAACATTAAAAAACACGCAGCAGGCAGTGTGAAACTGCAACTTGAATCTATATGGAATGATGTTAGTTCATTGACAAAAATAAATAAATAAAGCAACAGTTCATTACCACAACATGCAGCACCGGTCAATGTTCTCCTCCTCATCCTCATCATTGAGACTAATGTACTTCCGAAGGGCAGCATTGCCTGATTTCTTGAGCAGTTTCCGGGCCATCGATGTTGTCTCCCTCAGAAAGCTTTCTCCCTTTTTCTTGACACCAGTCACGTAGGAGGTGGTCACAGACCCCCAGTCATTGATAGAGAATGCATGTTCGGTAGTACTGTGATTGCCAGTGGCCTTATTGAAGGTCCTCAGTGTCTGCAGCTTGCGCTTCCTTTGTGCAGGACGCATATCGAGAGCATCCGAATCAATGTTGATGGCACCATCACTGAGGCACTTAATGGCGCGTTCAAGCTGTCAAAAAAAGTACAGCTATCAGTCATGTTTCTCATATGTCTCCAGTACTTACCAAAGCTGCACAAATGCCGAGAACACCAGCCATGCCAATGGAAGCCAATACATCCGTTTTGAGCGCAGTGACTTCAACATACACAATAATGCTATGAAGATGAGCAGTAGCGAAGAGTTGTAACATGAATGGGGACCAGAATGCTTGCATTGTGTCGATGTTGTCCATGTCCTCAAAAAGAAAAGTAAAGTCTTCCATAAGCGCTTGGCCAAGCTCTTTCGCGTCAGTGTCTTTGTTCAGGCATAGAAATCGATCATTATAGCAAGTCCTGTTGAACCGAAATTGCTGCGCCACTCTGCTAGATGCTGCGTGGCCTGATTCAAATTGTGATCAGTCAGTTAGTAATAGTGATGCAAGAAAAAACATGGGACCTACGACACCAAAGACAGAACCTTGAGTGTTTACCTTGTACTGGAGATCCAAATCATCATACACAACATCCATGATGCATTGGAGCGCATCGACGAGAGAATTATCTGATATCTGCCAGAGGTCATTTTGACTGCCGGCCCACAAATAAACAGTCGGGAGGAAGTGCTTAGGCCATCATTGATCCTGGCATTGAGGGGGAAGATCACAGTTTTGATAAGCTGAATGGGACTTGTACTGCTTCTCGATCCAGTAGCCAGGCGGTGCTGTAAGTGTTGATTTTGGTATAGTATCATCAGCCCCATCTTCGGTTTTGACCTTCTTTGCAGGTGGCTGCATTGTAGTGGATGACTTGGAGACGCCAACAGAAGTCTGTTGCAAGAATATAAGTAGTAGCCATTGTTAATAAATAAAAAAGGAACTTACGGGAGACGTCAAACGTACAGCCTTCTTTGCTGTCTTGGTTGTTTTGACGAAGCCTGTAGGCTTCGTCATACTATGATCCATGTTGAGAACCTCAATATCGTCATCCTCGTCTGAGGAATCCTTGAAGACTGGGACACAGTGTTTGGTGTCCACAGCGTTGTGCATCCTGTTCTTTGAGCGACAGAATACGAAACTGCTCAGGCTGTCACTGCTATCCTGAGACTTATCAGCCATATCCTCCTTGACATCCATTGTTGCATCGTTGTCCGCATCGGTTGGTGCATCATTGTCCGCATCAGTTGACGCATCATCCGAATCCTTCATGTCATCCTTCAAGCCCTCCATTGGAAGTGACCCGTCCGCGGTCAGCTCAGTAGGCACATCTATAATCTGTAGTGTCCACTTACTGCGTTAGAATTGAATGATATATTAAACTGCCACACACCTTAAGTGCGGATGGCTTTGGAAGGATGTCCGAGCGATCCTCTGAATCAAAAAGCTCATCGCCAAAGCCACCAATGAGAGCTTGAGAAGAATTAGCGACAACCTGAGGTGGGATTTTGTGCTGGCCGGAGCTGTGGTCACAATTGTTGCGGACATAGGGTGGGAGCCAGATAAGAAGATGGTAGTTGATGGCTCGTGCACTAAAGTCAGTCCCGTGACTGCCATATGAGGTGGCTTGGGAGTGCTTGATATGATGTCAGACCGGTCTGGTGAAACATCTTTAACCCAACCCTGGATGCGCCTCCCTAATGAAAACTTGGACTTGGTCCTGAAATTTGAGGTCAAATTAAGGAAAAGAAGTGTTTATTCGGTAAGCATCAACATCATGGTTGGAAAAGAAGTCTGGACGCACATCAACTTTCCTTTCTTGTCTTCAACACGTGCCCCTGACTGAGCTGCAAGAGCCGTGTCCTTCTCAGTCTTCTTCTTTGTCTTGATTCCATCGTCCTTCTGATTTTCTCGAGACCGAGCCTCAACATCCTCGCCTGGGTCAGTATCACGCAGCATTTGCGACATGCGCTCACTGGCCACAGTATCAGTTCCTACTCCCAGGAGTGCCTTATCTGCTTGAGCAGCAGGCTCTGACTTTTTCTTGACAGGGCGAGCATGGGGCCTTACTGCCTTTGGCTTCTTTGTCATGCTTTGCACCTTCGCCTTCTTCATCTCTTCCTGCATGGCAGACAGCCGCTGCAAACCCTCAACCGCGGCCAGTTCTTGAGCTTCATGGGTTTCCTGGGGGAGTTTGGTGTTCTTCTTCTTGGCTTGAGAACGTCGCTGACTTTGCCCTTCCAGGTCGGGTAAGCCTGGGTGTTTATTCGCATTTTGTGGGCGGGTGCGACACGGTTCATTGATATCAGTCATAACTGACAAGTAGCTAATTTTAACGGGTACTGCAGCACATGGGAGGGTGGAGAAGGGTGTAAGGAATCGGGTGGTTGGAGTTGAACTTTGAAGCGCTCGGTGCAAATTTGTAAGTTCTCATACTAACTTTAAATCACTTAACCAAACAAATGCCCATTCCAGCAGTGTCAGACTATCTTCGCCTCGTTATAACTGAGTGCACACCTGAAAATTGTTCATTATTCTAAGTGAGGTTTTTTGTCACTCATTTTCTCTTATATTCACCTGATACTACAGACCAAACGTCAATGAGAAGGCACGTGGATCCCTGGAGCCAGTCTTAGCGGCCCTACAGACAAGAAGGTATGTGAATCCTCAGAGATAGTACTGGCTATCCTTCTAACCAGACAGGCGCACAGATCCCCAGAGATAGTATTGGCCATCCTGCTGACAAACAGTCGCACCAGAGATAGTATTGGCCATCCTACCAATAAGACAGGTGCGCAGTCCCCAGAGATGGTACTGGACATCCTACTAACCAGACAGGTGCACAGATCTCCAATAGTATTGGCCATCCTACGTGCGGATCCCTACGACCAGACAATCAATCGCTTCGTCAGGCGCATCCGTGGGTCGATGACCAGACAATTAATTGGTTTGTCAACTTAAGTTGCAATGACCAGACAACTAACCACTTCATCAACAGAAATTGGAATGACCAGACAATCAATCGGTTCATCAACTGGAAGGTGTGTGGATCCCTTTGTCAGGCGCATCCGTGGGTCAACGACCAGACAATTAATTGGTTCATCAACTTTAGTTGCAATGACCAGACAATTAACCGCTTCGTCAACAGACATTGGAATAACCAGACAATCAATCGGTTCATCAACTGGAAGGTGTGTGGATCCCTTCGTCAGGCGCATCTGTGGGTCAACGACCAGACAATTAATTGGTTCGTCAACAGAAATTGCAATGAACAGACAATCAATCGCTTTGTCAACTGAAAATTGGCCATCCTGCCAACCAGACAGGTGCACAGTCCCCAGAGATAGTATTGGCCATCCTATTGACAACAGTCAATGACCAGACGATTAATCGGTTCATCAACTGAAATTGGCCATCCTACCAACAAGAAGGCGCGTATATTATTATTTTAATGAAGTACATAGACTTATTTGAACCTTAGTTACTGCAATGCCTGATAATATTCCTTGTACTCAAGTCCGTCGACGAGACTTCAGCATACTTCAGCTTCCGTGCGGAAGTTGCCCATGATGGTTCAAAACTGTTGCTGGCTGAACGAAACATTGTCTTGCTGCACACCCTGTTCCACCAGTAGTGCCTCGGGCCAGTCACTCCCCAGAACTCAATTTTGAAATGGATGTTGATGAAGGACGCACTGACTATGATATTGACATGGGCGATCCCCCACACCAACCGTCCCCTCAGCCAAACATCCACACAGAGTTTTTTGGGCCTGGCAATCATCTGTATAGGAACTACCACATGGGTCTCAATGGTATGTTCATTTGCTGGCCAGTTTTATCTTATTTTTCACACGATGGTAGGCAAACAATGTGATGCAGATGGTATATATCTCCCTCCTGGCACTCCTCCTCCTCCTCCTGAGAATGTAGCCTCGGACGACTGGACACCCTTTCATAGCCGTGCGGAATTTGAAACAGCGGAGTTTCTGTACACGCAAAATCAGATGTCGGCTGGTCAGATCAACCGACTGTTGGACTTATGGGCATCTACCCTCGCAAAGCACAATGACAGGCCACCATTTGCAGATCACCGTGATCTTTACACAGTCATTGATAGTTCACCCTTTGGAGACGTGAAATGGCAATGTTTCATGGTGGCCTATGACGGTGAGAGACCCGAAAATCCCAAGCCCTGGATGGATGATAAGTACGATGTATGGTTCCGTGACCCACGTGAGGTGACACGCAACATGCTTGCCAACTCAGCATATGCTAATGAATTTGACTACCGCCCATATCGAGAATACTCTACAGAGAATGATCAGCGTCAGTGGAAGGATTTCATGTCAGGCGACTGGGTGTTACGATGTTAGTCGCGTGCGGATTGGGATAATCTAACAGCGACGATAACGACAGTGATACCTCGTGCTGAGAGTCCAAGGTCGGCTCCTACAGACAAGTAAGAGTTGCGTACGCTAGCGGAGGCGAGCAATAATAGCGGTTACAGGCAGAAGGGGTCTCAAGTCCTTCTGAGGTGCTGGTCGAATGTCAAGCAAGTAGCTTTGGCAAGACAAGGAGTTCAAGGTAAAACCCAGTAAGATTAAAGTAAGGAACATCCACTTTAATCTATCGACCTTATATAAGGCTACTCTATCGTATCTAAGCTCAGCTTGAAGCTGGGTTCTAAGTGCTTATCTATCGAGTCAGAGATACCATGCATGAGGCAGGCTTCTATCTAAGATAAGGACCGTGAGGCATCCTTCTATCAGTACATGAGGCAATCAAGGGGCTTGCCTTCTATCTTGATAACATAAATAGGTCTTCCAGACCTATGTCGTCATAATCATGTAAGCAATCCAGACCGCTTATCTAATCCGGCATCTTCCGGGTTTCTCTTCTAGTCTTTATCTGTCATCAAGGCCTAAAGGCCTAGGTATCGTGTTGTTGCCGTGCAGGGTGGCAGAGGGCATATCTGTAGCTGGGGGCTCACGTCATGTTACTGTAACACTGGGCCTGGGACCAGGCAGTAAGTACTTGACTTTCCTTCGATAATGGCTGCTAAATCTGTGTCTAGGACAAAATTGCTAAAGATCCAAAGACGCCTGGCTTGATGTTCGTCCCTATCATCCTCGGTAGTGACAAAACAACTGTTTCAGTCGGTACAGGGAATAATGAATATTACCCGCTTTATGCATCAATCAGGAATATTTGCAACAATGTTCGATGAGCCCATCATGATGGACTAGCGATTATTGGGTTCTTGCTATGCCAAAAAGTATGTTGCAGTGTGAACTCTTCTAGTGTATGCTAATTTATGGTCACAACACATTCATCCACTCTGCACTCACGCCTGCATGCACAGCTACAAAAGAACATGCGGATGAGCCAACCTTCCGAAATTTTCATCGACAATTATTTCACTCGTCACTCTTGAAGATTCTCAGTTCACTTAAGCCAGGCATGACGACACCCGAAGTTGCACATTTTGGAGATGGTCACTACTGGCGAGTTGTATATGGGCTAGGACCTTACATCGCAGACTACGAGGAGCAAGTACTATTGACGTGTATTGTTCGCAGTCGGTGTCCTAAGTACGTATCTATCATTTCATATGTTTTTTACCTTGTAACTAATACCTCTACAGATGTATGGCACCTTGTGCCAATCTTGATCAAGACTCGTTGTGTTGTTGCCGTGACTATGTAGAGGCGCTTATTGAAGAAGGTCCCTTGGGTAACTTGTGGAATGAAGCAGGGATAGTTCCAGAACTTGTGGTATGTCAATCGGTATGCTCTTCACAGGTCATCAATACTAATTATTTCAACAGCCATTACAAACGACTTCCCCCGAGCCGATATATACCAAATGATCTCACCCGACATCCTCCATCAGCTCATCAAAGGCGCCTTCAAGGACCACCTTGTGGAATGGGTTGAAAAATACCTCAGACACGTTCATCCAAAACGACGTGCAGAGCAAATTTTAGATGATATTGATCGCAGGTAAGCTTATCTAGTGTTTATATTACATATGATCACTCACTGTATATTAGGATTGCCGCTGTGGCCCCATTTTCAGGCTTGTGACGATTCCCTCAGGGACGCGGCTTCAAGCAATGGATGGGAGATGACTCTAAGGCCCTGATGAAGGTAATTCACGCATTTTGAGTCTCACCTCACCATAGAACTTACTAATTCAACAGGTCTATTTGCCTGCAATTGAGGGTCATGTACCTACTGATATCGTGCATGCCTTCTGTGCACTCCTAGAATTTTGCTACCTCGTTTGCCGCAATATTATCACAGAGGATGTTCTAGTTGAGATCGAAGATGCACTCTCATGGTTTCATCATTATCGTGAAATCTTCAAGACATCGGGTACTATTCCTACCTTCTTGCTGCCTCGTCAACATTCACTCAAGCATTACATATAAAATATACGACTTTTTGCTGTGCCCAATGGCCTCTGCTCATCGATTACTGAGAATAAGCACATCAAAGCGGTCAAAGAACCTTGGAGACGATCGAGCTGTTTTTGTGCGCTTGGTCAAATGCTATTGATCAATCAACGGCTTGACAAAATTTCAGCAGCACGAGTTGAATTCACACGTTGATGGATGTTAGCTGGCACCTGCCTCTCAGCAGCTATGAATGCCTTAGGTAAGTCATTCGGTTTATACTAGTACAAGATGTCCCAAACGCTAATGTACATAATAGTTCCTGGAATAATACCAGCAACAGCAACACCAGCAACTGCAACAACTCCAGCAACAGCAACACCAGCAACCACAACAACACCTGCAACAGCAACAGCAACACCAGCAACAGCAACAACACCCACACCCGCAACAGCAACACCAGCAACAGCAACAACACCTGCAACAGCAACAGCAGCAACAGCAACAACACTGGCAACAGCAACAACACCAGCACCTGCACCAGCTGCACCTTTGCAGATTAGTATTGATGGGGACCTCGAAATTGATGACGGACCAACCGTTTTACAAGCCTTCGTGCAGCTGGCAAAAACCCCCGTAATTTTTCATTTATCTTCATTTTTCAATATTCTAACATACTGTACAGAGTGGAAAAAGCGTGCTCAAACTGTCCCTGCACTCGCTGAAGAACTCAGTATACCTCGTCTTCCTGACCTCCTTGTACAGTTTTTATTCCAACAATTACACCCTGATGATCACCGCGACCCATGTGATGTACCTCTTGCGGAATGTCCTCGCTATCTCAACAAAATATTGGTTTTTAATTCAGCCTCACCATGCTTCTATGCGCCCAGTGATTTGAGCAGTAGCGGTGGCATGCGCACTGAGCACATCTGCTCTTCTCCATCCTGGCGCAATGAGCACTCGCGCTACGACTGTGTTTTTGTAAACACAGACTCTGATTTACCTGGCATGTGAGGCCTCGAGGTTGCTCGAGTTCGCACTTTTTTGTCATTCAAGTATCGGGGTAATACATATCCCTGCGCCGTGATACACTGGTTTGACAAGGTTGGCAACACTGCAGACGAAGATACGGGAATGTGGATCGTTAGTCCCGCAGGTGGCGCATCCAAGCACGCTGTCATTCACATTGACGCTATCTATCGTGCTGCGCATCTCATTCCGGTGTATGGCATGGAGTTTTTGCCTCAGGGATTCAAATGCCACGACTTGTATGACACATTTCGAACTTACTATGTGAATAAGTATGCTGACCACCATGCATTTGAGATTGCATTTTGACAATACTTTATTTACTATAGCTATTGTACACACTTTGAATGTATACTACTATTATCTCTCTGAACATGTATTATTTCTCCTTTGCACATTAAACTCTCTTAACCACCTTGGAGAAAAATCAGCAAAATGTCTTATCACTCCTTAGATTGATTTTCACACCTTAGCACTCGCACCAAGGTGAAAAAGTGACATAATGACGGAAAATGATTACGAGGTTTTACTGATGCTGATGGTCGCTTCTCAACTGGGATATCCAGAAAATTGAATACCTTAGGAAACCAGCTTTGTAACTGGCTGGTGATCTTGTGGTAGGACCATCCGCTATCGATGATAAATTGCTCAGGCTGGTCAAGGTAACAACCCTGGTTCTTCATAGCCTGGATTTCATTCTGGCCATTCTTGGTTGGGGCCTTAGGTGCTCTGATGAGACCGTTTCTCTGGAAAATGCTATGAATTAGTGGGTTTAGTAGACTATTGATTGTCTTTGACTAACATCGACCCCGCAAGTCAATAGAGCAATTGATGCGACACGAAAAGTGTTAGCTCCGGTCGTGGAAAGGTTAGACATAGTGCTCCTGTGTGCTTGGCTTCCAATTTTACTAGGTTGCAGTGAGCTACTCATAGTATCCTTGCGATCCTAGAAGCAACTTCAGTATTCGTGTAAACTAATCTTCATGCACTAGCCGATGATCCCATACCTTTCGCAAGCCCGACGACACTGGGCCCTTAGCCAGCTTACTGTAACCAGAAAGTCAGGTGGAAGAAAGAGTCGATAAGGCTTCCTCTCAGGCATTGGCAAGTGGTACACCAGCTTCAGTGAGTTGCTTGGTGGTGGACAACTTTTCATTGACACTTTTGCCACCACTAGCGATTCGGTCAAAAATATCCTTGACGACAGCTGAGGTATTGCCAAGTCAGCGAGGCTGTTCATCCTCTTGAACTTCCAGTGGTTTGCCACTCCGAGTCGATGCCTTGTGAGGGTGTTTGCTGTGACCGTGACCACACTCCACACAGTGGCCTTCATCCTGCGACCGAGCAAAGAATTCTTCGCAATCGCACACTTGACTGTCAGATTTTGAACCTCTATAGAAGTGCTCCCAGTCCATAGCATTGCTCTTGGAATCCATGCAGAGCGATAGTACTAGTGGGAGAAGGTGGAGAAAGACTTCACACGGAAGAGGAGACAAAAGATGGAAACGACTCGGACTTGAAGAGGATAGTCAACAGGTACTAGATAGTGCAGTTTATATGTACAATTTGAAACTTATGACATTCTGCCTGCCTTCTGGTTGACGTATTGTCCAAGTAAGTATTTCAAGAGTAATAACTACTACGACTCTCATAAGTTTAAGTTACTCTTGCCCAGCCACTAAAAAGTATGACAACACTAGTAAGGCCTGACACCATAGCCTCGCCTGGTTGAACCAGCTTGGTTTGGCGAGAGACACGTGTAGTTCTTTCGACCCTCGTTGGCCAACAGGGATAGCCTCAAAGATTGGATACTCGTCGCCTTCCCACTCATTTCCTGCTAGCCTGCAGTTGCACGGTGTTATATCCTCAGCTATGACTTCGATAAGGGTGGCAGAGAATTGCTGGCGTGTTTCGTCATTGACGAAAGGACTGATTTGCAATGGAACACTGATAGCATTGTGGTGGATATGGTGTCATTGTTGATCGTTGATAGCCTGTACCATAGTTAGAGGCTCCTCTTCATTATCACTTTCTTCTTCATCAATTGGATGCCCCACTCCACTCTGATGTTGTCGTCGAGTCATAGTAGGGCCATGTACCCCATAGTGTTCTTCAATCATGTCAGGGTGGACCCCTTCGCAGTCATCATGATACACCCTGAACTGGATTTGACCTAAGAAACGTAAATCCTGGGTCACAATGAGATAATTTGTCAGTGTCACATAAATGTAAAACGACGCATTTACCTTAGGGCTCTTATCATTGGTGTCAGGACCACATATCGGATGACAATTCCATTCCGCCCAGAAATCCAAACAATCTTGATTGATTTCATTGAGGAACAGAGTCTGGAGCAACCAGATATGACTAGGGCTGTGAGGGTTGAGCCTGTGATGGTTTTCAAGTCGAGTGAAAAACACTCTCCACCTCCTAGCGAACTGCATGCCAACTTCAACCCATAGACACTCGATCCACGAATTCCATGTAGAACTTGTCCAGAATTAGTACCTAACATAAAGCTGCAGAACAAACACATTACAACTCACGATCCCCACATGAAGGACGCACGACGTGGTCCATTTCACATTATCATATATGTTGCAACATCGAGATTCTCTCCTCCACGATCTCCTCGCACACGAGAAGGTGTTCCGAAGTTTTGCATTGCATGAATGAACAGTTCCAAAACTGTGCTGGAGCGATTGTTGTTACTTGCTCGAAGTCCCATTATCTAATAGACATATAAATTAGAGTCAGTAATCAATGCAAATGCGTTAAAAAACACATCACACCATTCTATAAAACCTGTCAATGAACCCATGAATCATGATCCCCCATCGAATTAACTTATGGTGGCCATCTACATGCCATAACGCATTGGGGCGCTTCACATGGTATTTCCGTCGACGTTTGACCTGTCGATCTCGCAGGACTTGGCCTAAGCCATCAACCCTGCGAAGCGACTCTACTACTTGTCGATGTTGCACCCGGAGACCATGTCTGCGAAGATACCCAACAATGTACCGGATACCTGAATCGGGTCGCTTTTTCTTGAACTCCTTGATGAGGAGATCAAGATCAGTATTGGTAAGATCGGAGTACTTTCTTTCAACACCGTGGTGTTTCATATAGAGTCGCAGCGTGTTCCTGTGGACTCCTAGCATTTTGGCAAGTTCTGTAAGTCTAATTTGACGTGAATTCGAGACCGCTTTGGAAAGGAACGCAAGGTCGATGGATTTTTTTGGACGACCTGGACGACCTGTATGCAGCAATGACACTGGTTCTGGAAATGCAATGTTGGTGTCCATTCTGGGATTCACGCATAGTCAACAATCATTCAAAATGAGATAATACGACTCACAAATTTCGAGTATTGTGTCGAAACGACAACAATTGAACAGAGAGATCTCCAAGCGAGGTTGCTGCACAAGTCAGCCAATCATGCATATCATGCCCCTGTGGGTCATGCGCAAGTGCTTGGAGCAGGGGTATAGCATCTCCAGATACAGCCTCTAAGTGAAATGTAAGTTGAAGGGGGTCGGCGTCCTCTTGATGCAGAATATGATAGGCCCGTTGGTAGATGTCTGACAATGTATTGTGAGCAGTAATAAAATTTGCTGACCATGGAGCTTGAGTTGGCATGCGAGATGGAAATGGCAGAAATGCCTGTGGTGGTATAGGCATCACGATCACTGCAGAAACAAGATTTAGAATGAATCGGCATTCAATAGAATCATAGAGTAGCGTACATATTAGCAGGAAGTTGAAATTAGATGAAGGCAGTCCAACTATAGTTTGACTGCCTTTGTCTAATTTCAACTTCCTGCTAATATGTCGACAGAGTTTGTTGTACCAACTTGACACCCAGTCTATTACTTTAATGCGTCCAGCCACATCTTCCAGGTGAGTTTTATTCATCGATCAAATTATCGTACTAATTTGAAAACTTTCCATTGACAGGTAGAGAATACACTATACAAACTCTGTAGCTCAATCTTATCTGTGTCTTCCAATGTCTTTCGTGATATGTTTTCTACCATGGAGAATTCTAGGCAACCAGAAGTAGATGGCATGTGTGATGAGAAACTGATTCACCTCAATGGAATATCTCGGGAGACGTTTGAGTTGTTTCTTGAATTCACGTTTGGAAGGTATGTTGATATTTTATGTTTTTAGTCAGTAACTGAACTGTTTGTCACGGTAGAATGCGTACGGGATCTCATAGCATCGATGAACTCTCGAAATTTCTCCATTTCTGTGACATGTATCAATGCTCCCATGCATGCGAATTCGTTATTTCCCGCATATCTTCCGCACATTACCGTTTCCACCCAGCTAAGTTAATCAACCTCGCCATTAAATACCACGTCCGCTCCATCTTTCCATATACTTTTCAGCAACTGGCAGAAACCCCAATCACTGAGCTCACTCATGCCCACCAGGAGTTGATGGGCAACAAAGTTTTTTTGAATGTAATTTATGTTCAGGCTGCGCTTGATAGTCACCGCCAGATCATAGCTGCGGAGGAACTGAAGATCTTGATGCACTCGAATGAGTGTCAAGACCCAACTGGTTGCAATGAGGACTGGCACGCAATTTGGTGGAATGGTACGGGCCGGTTTCTTCTTGATGGTAGGAATCCACAGCCATATGACGACACCGTCAAATGCTTCAAGGAACTGCAGTTTGGATGTGTCAGTGAAGGATGCAAAGACCTCATGTTCAAGATTCTCGATCAGGGAGCAGCATTCAAGCACGCCCAACAATTTCTTTCCGAGACTTGCAGCTTCCTAGTAGAGAAACTGGTTTTCGAGCCTGAGCCTCCTTCGCCATAGTCTTACTAGTACTCATGTTAGTTTTACTCATGTTCAACCACAAGGACTTCATTCATCGTACGACGTAGACTTGTCGTGTTCAATTGTATAGAGTGGTGTTTGTACCAGTACAAATACTATACTGCAGTGGTCCGAGTCTCAAATTGCTTGAAGGAAAGTAGATATCATAATTATCATGGCGGCAACTTCAAGTTGAGTTTTGAGTCCAATCAAGATGCGCCAGCTCTGGATTGGCGAAAACGCGCAGTGCGGGAATGTGGAACCTCTTGATTAAAACGCGCCCACTCTGGATTGATGAAAACGCGCAGCACGCAAGCCGCGGGACGTGCAAATAATAAATGTGCAGATATAGCGCCATACGATCTATCAGATTGATGTTATTGTTTTGCATGAATCATAAACATCGGTATTAAGTTGTCGCCTATGCCTCTGTTAAATGCGAAGTGTTAGATCAACCTGTTCAAGTTGGGGTAGTCATACCACATATGAGTCAAAAGAGCCTATTCATTGTCTCTGTTTGGGCAAACATCATAGTTTCTCAGAAAAACAGATATGAGTGAATGTTTGTAGACCAGTAATGCCAGGTGGATTTGGTGAGATGTTGAATTCTTGAATTGCGATGTCAAAATGCAAAGGTAATGCTGCTGCTACCGTATGCGCAATGTAGTCAAATTGCAGAGCTTGGTGAGCTTCAGTTGCTGTGTTTAAAACTGGTTATGTAAGAAAAATGTGAAATTGCAGAATCGCCTCCCGATCAAGAGTAGTTGTTTGTCAAGAGCCTTTGATCCAAACATCAATGCATCACGTACATATGCGCAAAGACAAGAGGTTCATCGTGCAAAATGATCGACGTGTTCCAAAACGGTCAGGCCCGAACTCAGGTGACAGAAATGCTGAAACGTGCACGGTGCTTCATCAGTAAACTAATATGCGCTGTACAGAACTGTACAGAACTGGACAGCACCCAAGGGTGACAGCTTGGTCCCTTTGTGACAGTGACTCACAGATGCACCCGTTCTGTGCCGCACTGCACAGAATCTCACAGGCACTCCAGTGACTGTCTCGTGCACAGAATATGTGCTTAAACTTAGGTGTCACTCTGCACAGAGGCTTACAGACCTCCTTGTACACAAAGCTCAGCCAGATATGTAGTAGCATAATAATCATATTGATAATAGAATGATAAGCGAGATAACAGAATGCAGTAAACAAATGTAGGAAACAGAAATACTTGGACATGTGAATATGAAGCATCAGTCAAGAATGATCTGCAGGTGGTCATGTCGAGCCCCCGCAGCTCTGTCGACCCTCAAACTTGCGGTCCTGTATGGATAACATTAGTATCAAATAAGACACACAAACACAACATTCTCGCCATCCAGCTTCAGCCCACTCTCGCAGTTGCGCCAACAACCTAGGGCCATGGTACAGATCCTGAAGGATGGCCTTGAGCATTTGGACCATTTTGGAGTAGATAGGGCCATATTCCCTTGCAGTAAAATTCGGGTAATATTTGCTGTGGCTGTTCTTCGTGAGACCATCGAGAACGCAGTTGTACTATAGAGAGAAAACTTGAATCAATATAGTATAATGTTGAGTAGGGGCAAAAATACTACCGCTGCGCTGACCAAAGCCAGACATGACACAGGCAATTGGTTGCGGAATATGTCCGGTTGCCTGCGTGCGATTCGGTAAGGTCCCATGTAAAAGAAGATGATGACAGTGTCATGAAGTGCGGGATGAGCAAAATTCCTTGTTTTACCCTAGAAAGATTCTCTGAGAATAGACCCTATAAGCGCAAGATCACTTACATATTCATCTAATCCAAAGTGTAGGAAGAGTGACCCTTCCAGTAAGTCTGCAGCAGCGTGTTCTACCCACTCTGCACGTTCTTGAATGGGGACTGAAGGCGGGGGAATGAGCGAGTATGATTGGGGTGCAAGGCTCATAGTGGATTTCTTCAAGTTGGATCGCCAGGTTGCAAGATCATCGTACAACTGTAGTATAGATCTGAATCAATGAGAGCAGCAGGAATGTGAGTTTTACGCCTACCAGCCGAGCCATGTTAGATTTCTGTTGCGGCCAAATCCCTAAATTGCGACATGAAACGGATTGGTTTTAAGAGGGAACAAATGCTCACCGGCTTCAAATTGTTTACCATCCTGGTCCCATGTAACTAAGACTGAAACAAGAACCTCGCTTACAGACGACGGTAAATTGGCAACTAAAGCTGGGAAGGGATTCTCCAGGGCATGTTGCACACAACATTCTCCTTTAGTATCCTCAAGAAAACATTTCCGTTGCGGACCATACCATGCTAGTTGAGTGGGTTTTGGCCTGTCAAGTTTCCTCAATTGTTTAGTTTTAGACCACTGGGTTGGTTGGTCCTTGTCAGACTCGACTTGATGCAACAACTCGAGGGTTTCAGGATTGGGAAGGCGTGGCCGGCCATTCTTCTTGTGATGGTGTCTTAATACGTCATTGGGCTGCGACATCATGATCTATAAAGAAAAAGAGTGAGCCTCGTGAAGGATGAGTTCCATCGCCTCACCTGAACTTCCTGTGGCTGTGGCTGCATGTGCAAGGTATCCGGAGGAATCTTGAAAAGCAAGTAACTGTCAGCACAATACTGGCAAGTCAACCCGTCATACCTGTGAACTGTTGGACCACCGGATGGACAACGTGGAAGGATTAACCGCATGTGAGACACTGGTCTGTGCAACTGCATCATCTTCATCGCGGGAATATTGAAACTCAAAGTCTGGTGTAAGAGGATGAGTGACTTGAGGTTGCGAAGGAAGCTCTTGCCCACAAAATCCTGTGATTGGTATTCATAAGAATGTTCGAAAGACAAGGGTAGAAGGCGACTAATCCTGGTAGTTTTCATCTGAACACGCAGGAGAATCGCAAACACATTACCTGGATGTTCAGTGTGACGTCCACCAACCTCTCCCCAGCCAAACTGCCGGTGACTCATCTCCTCCTCCTCCTCCTCCTCCTCCTCTTCCTCCTGTTCTTCATCGTTGTCGTCATTGTCATTGTCATTGTCATTGTCATTGTCATTGTCATTGTCATTGTCATTGTCATTGTCATTGTCATTGTCATTGTCATTGTCATTGTCATTGTCATTGTCATTGTCATTGTCATTGTCTTTGTTGTCCTCATTGTCGTCATTGTCGTCATTGTTGTCTTCATCGTTAGAACCAACATTCCTTGTGCATGGACATCATGTATGTTCTGGTCCAGGAGGCCAGTTGGCGGTGCAACTGAATTAGCTACACTAGGGCCAGTTACAGTTTTACGAGGTTGCTTCCCAACAACTTTCCTCCCAACAGTGTTCAGACCTGGGTCAGGAGGGACAGCAGTGGCATGCGTAGCGAACCCAAATCTCCCTCCAGCTTGATGGAACAACACATATTACAGTGACCTATCTCCGTATAATACGATGGAACAGACGTGCATAATATCCCGTATGATATGGGCCAGCGGACCATGGGCCCAGTATAACAATATCCTCGACTATGACAGATGGGCTGGGAGGCAAATTATTCCCGATGGAGGCGGGTGGGCCCATGCAGGGAATATATAGAGTAGATGAGTGGGCCAATGTACATGAATATTAGGTAGACGGGTGGGCCGAGGTAGTTGGATATTATGCAGATGGGTGTATTAAGGTAGATGTGTATGAGATAGATGGGTAGGTACTTGTTATCACATTCACGGGTGGGCCCAGACACATATTAAATTATTAAATTAGATGGATGGGCCAAGGGTATCATAAAATATTGTATTAGACAGGTGGGCCGAGGGTATTATAAAATAATGTATTATACGGGTGGGCCCAGATGCATATTAATTAGACCGGTGGGCCGAGGGTGTTGTATGGGATGTTGTATTAGACGGGTGGGCCGAGGGTGGTATAAAATATAGATGAGTGGGCCCATGTGTATCATAATTGTAGACATGATGGAGCTGAGGTAGTTGTACATCAACCAAATCAGAGGAGGTAATAAATCAAAGTTACCAAGTTCCCGGAGCATCAGGTGATCTCCTGACATGGCGGTGTGAAGCTTGTGTTGCCCTATGAGACGCCAAGTTCCGACCACCAGAATTTGAGTCAACTGTACTGAGTTCCGAGTTCCGGGACCCAGAACTCAACACATAATTTAGTTAATACTTTTTGATGGTGCACAGGTTGTCTTGCAGAATGTGGAATCCGGGGTGCGAGGCTTGTGTTGCCCTATGAGAAGCCAAGTTCCGACCACCAGAATTTGAGTCAACTGTACCGAGTTCCGGGACCCGGAACTCAACACATAATTTGGTTAATACTTTCCGTGTTAAATGGCCAACCAAAGTTGAGATGTTTCTGAAGAGAGCAGCAGGTGCTCTTTTGACATGGCCTTTGATGGTGCTTAGGTTGTCTTGCAGAATGTGGAATCCGGGGTATGAAGCTTGTGTTGCCCTATGAGAAGCCAAGTTCCGACCACCAAAATGTGAGTCAACTGTACTCAGAGGAGGTAATAAATCAAAGTTACCGAGTTCCCGGAGCAGCAGGTGATCTCCTGACATGGCTGTGTGAAGCTTGTGTTGCCCTACGAGACGCCAAATTCCGACCACCCAAATATGGGTCAACCGTACCGACTTCCGAGTTCCAGGACCCGGGAGTTGACAAATGAATATCTGATGACCAGCACACTTCCAATCAGGTAGTATTTCATTGAGCAATGGATAATAATACAGCTTTGACAGCCAAAATTATCCCAGGCTCCCTTATCTGATCCTCTCTATCTCCACCCCCTATAACACCAAAGTCCGGACATCCAGCATTCAGCGTCTGATTTCCCAAGATTAACATCCAGCATGAACGGTTCTTCCCCTTCCCCTCCTGATAGCATAAACATCTGGTGCACTTGGGCCCTGACTGTGACTTATGAAGCAGGGGAATATACCAAACAGAAATTCAAGGCAGAGAAGACTGGAGGAGGCCCAGTCATACCTTCCCCCAACCTAGACACTGATCTGGTGATGGCATGTGATCGCTTGGCTGATGTACTCATAAAGGCATATAAAAATCCCAGTGGGTCTTCGTGCAGATTCAGAAAAAAAAATTTATCATTCAAATTCCTGCATGACAGTTCAGATGCAGATGGATATTGCAAGATATAGCAAATTGATCTCCCCGAAGGACACCGGGCATAATGAACATAGAGAGGCGAGGTTGCTTGAGAGGTGTCCTCCTGGCCATAAAGGCAAAAGGTTGGTCGACAAACCTGCCACAATTCTCGATGCATCCGGTGCCATCATTGCATGGTACCTCCCAGACACCCTGACCGACACCACCCAGGTGTGTAATATATATTGTTACTCAATGGATATTGAATATTAATGGAACCTACAGGAGGAAATCAGGGAGGCCACCGATTTGCTCACTCCAAGTCTCGAAAAAAGTGTAAGGGCTGATGGCAATTGGCGAACTAATCAAACATTGTTCAACCAGGGCTTGGAAGATGTTGGACCAACTCCCGAATGCATCAATCTATCTCTGGCATGGTTTCAACAGGGACACGAGGTAGGATCTGATGGGATGGTGATTCCGGCAGTCATACTCACCAATCTCAAAGAATGTGTCAGATCCGGAGGTATCTGCATCATTGAAGGGACCTTCCTGTGAGAATATTCTCAAAGCCATTGCAAGGCCAGCAGCCATCGCGTCCGCGGCACTCAGAGTCATGCATCCTGAGCAGTACTGGGCAGGATTGAGAACCTTGTCAAACCTTGGAAATATAGCAGTAAGCAAGGATCTGCCACAGATGCCAGAGGCCCTGCAGTACTGGGCATCCGTGTTTAACACCCTCTCCATCATTTCCAATCGGGAAACCCCCCATCATTGAGACCACATGTCCATTGCTGAATGCTTCGATATTCTCACCACCGTGGGGAACTATTCTAATGCTCGGATGACAATGCCAAGCCTTCAGCTGGAGTTCAAGTACAATTCTGGCTGTATGATTGCATTTTCCGGAAGGATTGTGAGACATGGAGTTTATTATGTGGAAGGGAATCGGATTGCTTGGGCATGGTATATGAGGGATGCTGTTAACATTTACGCTGGTGTTCCATCATGTGGATGGGCTAGTGTGGATGGTCCATACAGCGTGTGAAAGATCAAACAAAGAGCAAGCATTGTGACCTATATACATTCCAACAAATGAATACCATGTACCAATAGTTATCCGGACCTCAATACTCAATTTTGAGCATTTGCAAAGTGATATGTGGGACTGAATAATTTGGATGCAAGCCTCAGTATTCAATAATTGGAACTCGTGACTTGACATATGGGAGACCCAGGTGCCGGGTTACTGAGTCCCAACACCCGGACCTCAGCACATGATATTTGACACTGGGGGAAGATGTATAAATACGCTCAAATTAACATTTGTTATTGCCATACACATTTGACAAAACCCTGAGCCCCGACATTGTGGACTCCGGACTCGACACTGTTCTGAATACCAAGTCCCGGATGCCCAGGTCCTGAGTCCCGAATTTCAGAGGTCAGGGTTTGGCGACCCGGAGCTCGGCAACTGTGTTGGGTGTCAGGGTATCCAGAGCATTGGAGATAGCATTTGTCAGTATTTTGCATTTCATGGTTCATGTTTTGTGGTTATGGAATCGGGCATCAGGGACTCGGTATTGAGAACAGTGTTGAGTCCCAGGTCATGAGCTCTGAGTCCCGAGTGCTGAACCCCAGGTCCTGAGTCCCAAATTTCGGAGGTCGGGGTTCGGCGACCCAGAGCTCGGCAACTGTATTCGGAGCATTGGAGATAGCATTTGTCAGTATTTTCCATTTCATGGTTCATGTTTTGTGGTTATGGAATCGGGTGTCAGGGACTCGGTATTGAGAACAGTGTTGAGTCCCGGGTCATGAGCTCCGAGTCCCAAGTCCCGAACCCCAGACCCAACAGTTGCCGAGCTCCGGGTCACCAAACCCCGACCTCTGAAATTCGGGACTCGGGACCCAGGGTTCGGCACTTGGGACTCGGAGCTCATGACCTGGGACTCAACACTGTTCTCAATACCAAGTCCCTGACGCCCGATTCCATAACCACAAAACATGAACCATGAAATGGAAAATACTGACAAATGCTATCTCCAATGCTCCGAATACAGTTGCCGAGCTCCGGGTCGCCGACCCCGACCTCCGAAATTCGGGACTTGGGACCCAGGGTTCGGCACTCGGAGCTCGGAGCTCGTGACCTGGGACTCAACACTGTTCTCAATACCGAGTCCCTGACACCCGATTCCATAATCACGAAACATAAGCCATGAAACGCAAAATACTGACACATGCTATCTCCAATGGTCTGGATATCCTGACACCCAACACAGTTGCCAAGCTCTGGGTTGCCGAACCCCGACCTCTGAAATTTGGGACTCGGGACCCGGGGTTTGGCACTCAGGACTTGGAGCTCGTGACCTGGGACTCGACACTGTTCTCAATACCGAGTCCCTGACGCCCGATTCCATAACCACAAAACATGAACCATGAAACTCAAAATACTGACACATGCTATCTCCAATGCTCTGGATACCCTGACACCCAACACAGTTGCTGAGCTCCGGGTCGCCAAACCCCGACCTCTGAAATTCGGGACTCAGGACCTGGGTGTCCGGGACTCGGATGTGAGATTTTTGAATGCATAGAATATGTTACATCTTGTATACAATGAGACTGAATGGGACTACACTCCTTTGCCTTTCCTCAATTTCTCTAACATGTCAGTGTACATCTTCACCTCTCCCATCTTGGCTTTGATGCCCTGATCTTGCTCCTCCATCAATGCTTCCATGCGTTCTTTAATGAACCTCAGTTCCATAAGTGGTGGAGTTGAAGTGTTTTTCAACTTCTCTGGAAGAACCAAAGCATCATCCTCAACATTAAGCTGAAACAGATAAGTCATCAATCAAGGTAAT